CGGCGGCGCCGCCCGCGCGGGGCCCGCGGCGCTCGCAGGCGCCTCGGCCGGGTCCCTTCCCGGACACGCGGAGCGTTTCCCGGAAACTCGGTGCGTGGCGGGGCGAGAGGCCTCCCCGCTCCCAGCGCCCCCGCCCGCCCCGGGCCGCTCTGAAAACCGGGGGTGTAGCGAGAAACGTTCGGATCTCCCGGAGCCCCTGAAACCCGCCCGTGTTCTGGGGTCYGCAGGGCAGCAAACGGTTTTTATTGTTCCCTGCTGTTGGCTTTGGGGGAGATCTGCGTGTTGCCAAATGCCTTAAACAGCCCTGGGAGGTGTTTGTTTCTGTTGGATTAATTGAGTGTTAAGTGTAGTCTCGGCCTTTGTGGCGAGCGAGGGGTTGGTTTGGCCTCTTGAGGTGAGGCTGGTGCTTCCAGAGTTGCTCTGGAGGGGTTCCTGGAGAAGAGGCTTCGTTTYGCGCCCGTTGGAAGCGACGCGAGGGAGCGGGGCGCCGTGTCGGTGTGGGTCCCTAACCTTTGTATCCCTGTAAAGCTTTAACCTGGCTGCGAGCGCCCGAGAGCGGCGGGGAGGGTTGTCCCGTGGCCAATGAAACGGGCCCCGTGTCCGCCCGCTCCCGGCAGCGCCATCGGCGGGACGGGTGCCTTGGCCCCCTTGGGAAGGGCGGCCTGCTTTGCGGCCTCCYGGAGCTCACGAGACCTGGGCGCCTCTCGGTGCCGCGTCCTGCGGAGCCGCTTGGGCGCTCCTGCGTGGGGAGGAAGCAGCTCGTGCCGAAGCTCGCACAGCCATTTTATTAATAGATCCGTGCCCCCCTCTCAGCCTGCATCCGCTGGGTGCTCAGCACTCTTTGCTTGCAATTTCTGGACATCTGCATTTGATATTCAGGGCGCTCTCGAGAGGGCAGCGTCACCTGCTGTCCTCGAGGTCGCTCACGTGCTCCGGGGCTGCAGATGCCTCCCTTAAAGTCACAAAAAGACAGCGTGGCCCCGGTCGCTTTGCTGCAGCAGCGAATCCTCCGTACGTGCGGCTTGGCCCTCCGAGTACAGCAAAAAGGACATTTMGGGAGGTGGGATGTGTCTGCTCCGGGTTCTGGCGCAGGTGGCCCGCTTGACTGCTGTATTTTTACATCCCAAAGAGGCCCGTGCCAAAAGGCTGATCTCTGTCCTGCCCTCTCGTTATTGGCTTGAACTTCTGCCGGGTTTGGAGGCTTTGGAGGGGCTGGATTTGGGCTTGTCCTTGTAGCAAATAGCTTTGGAGCTAGGTGTGACCTTGGCAAAGGAATTATCTCTAAAGCTACTGCAACTGCTTCCTTATCCCTCTGCTTTATGTCTGGGGCCTACTAAGCCACTCCTTAATTTCAGACTCGAGGAGGCTGCCCTCTGAAATACCAAACTT